TATTATATGAAACAATTTCACAACCATATATGAAACAACTTCATCAAAAAAAGTATTATATGAAACAATTTCACAAGATTAAACAATTTCATGAAAAAAATTCATAAGATTAAATAATGAAATCGACAGATGAAGGTGGTTTGCATGGTTTATATAAATTAGGGCGGTTTTCATATGATCACTCCTCTATATATGTATGTATATACACATATATATAATATATACACACATAAGGTTGAGTTTCCAGTGAGAAGAGTAATAAGATCTCCACCCTTAAATCAATCCTAATTGAAAATCAATACTGCTGAAATGTGTCAAGATACACCATATCAACTCCCTTCTAAAACATCATTAATGGGTGAGCATAAGATTAACAGTGATCAAATGTAGAGACCCCTTCTTACGCTTCTCACACTCACTCTTTTTCTCACACGATCCAGACAAAAATTCCCATTTTCATTAGCTCTTAATATTTATTTACATTCAAAAACCCAAGTGTTACATTGGTAAAACACTTAACAATGCTTAGGGTTCAAATCTTCATAATATAACTAATAATATCATCACCAAATATGTTGTACATGTAATACTAAAATACATTTTATACATTTTAAAATTTAAATGTCTCAAAAGCTCATGGAATGATCATATATCACAGGTTGAGGTGGGAGAACAAAGAAGGAACAAGATCAACCACAGACCAAGCAAGACCAGCATATTGTAGCAATCGGATGCCGGTATCAACGTCAAACGAGTCCTGGCTGCCGAAAAACATCTTCTGGAGATACCCGCTCGTTTGTTTGACTTCGTTTGACCTTTTGACGGCGGGAGAAACGGTCAAAGCTGTGACGTAGCCCGATGATCTCACGGGGATCCCCAGTGCACTTGCTGTAATGGGTAGGATCCATTTCGCGAGAGCTTTGCTGCAGAACTTGACGAGCAGGATTGTCGGGATACCGACCAGAACTCTCCCTGCAAAGGCTGGGATCGTGAGTTCGGGTGTGAATACACGTGCTACTTTTTCGTGGTGGAATTGATGGTAAGTCTGTTGCACACCGGTTACCTGCATAAAAACAATGGATCTCGAGACATGAATGTATGGATTTACTTCCGTTATGTGGGTCCCATCTTAGAGCTTTTTCAACGAAAAAATGGGACCCACACGTTCGAAAACCGCACTTGTAACTCCACAAGTAAAAAGGTGTTTTTCTTGTGGGGGGTTTTTTTTATATGGCCAAAAAAAGCTTCCGAAAGTAGCACCATTGAGGAATAAGAAGCAAGTGCATATAATGGTTGCAATTTTCGTGATATTCGAAAACAATGGTTGCAATTTTCGTGAAACAGCAAGTGCATATAAGAGTTTATTCTTACGATTCCCAGTGCCACGCCCGTGAAGGCCGTGTGATACTCGAAACTTGGAGTTGGATGCTCGGGTGTTGGGTATGCAAAGAGCAATAAGAAGCTAAGAGCAATCCAAAAGGTTGTAACTGCAACAAAAGTAAAGCATTTTGAGTGTTGTTACTATCAATTCTGATAAAGCAAACCACACGAACCCCAGAATACCCTATCCACCTGGAGGTGGGGTAAGATGTATGTTGACCTGACCTCTACCCCGAATAGTAAATTGGTTGTTTCCATGAACAATCAATTATCGTCCAAATGGAGGATAATCTTTCAACAAATCTTCAATTTTGTAATATACAGATCCAAAAAACTCCGATACGCCAAAGACTCAACGGCCTTTGCGAAAATCGAGGAAGGAAATCTTAGTATGTGGAAAATTTAATACAATTTGGCATCTAAATTTGAGTGGTACTCCGACCGTCAACATTTTCCTTCTCAAGATGTCTCAAAGTAAAGGCGATATTTCCTTTTTGGCAAAGAATCGTTCCAAAACCGCCTATTTACCCACTAATAATGTTGTTTACCAACACCTTCTGACCAACAAATGTTGCTGACCCAGTAAGAGTGGAGAGGCTTACTTAGGGGACGTTTATCAAACACTAATTGATAAGTGCTTACCGTATGTCACTTACCTTACTGGGTGAGTATGGCAAGAACCAAGAATGTTATCTGGTAAGAGGCATAACAAGGATCAAGAGTCTTACCCGGTAGGTGAGGGAGAAGACTCTTACTCGGTTAGCGCTACCAACAATCCGTTTTGATGGCCGAAAATGTTACCTGATAAGGTAAGTGATGGTGGTGAATCTTGCCATTAAGCGCGCTTACCCAATAAGGGTTCAACAAACGACCCCTTACTCGGTTAGTACATCTTACTCGATCAACGCTTATCCAATTCTTTTTTAGTGAACGGCCCCTAAGATTATATATTTACTTAAGGCTTGTTCAAAGACCCCGAGTTAGTACAAAAAAGGAAACAAATATTATATCAAGTACAAGAAAGCATACCGTTTTGTCCTAAAATTACAAAATTGTCGATGCTTTCATGAAGATGAAGCCAAAATGCAAGAATTGTCAATCCAAGAACAAGACCACCAATGATGTCGATCACACTATGCATGCCAAGATATATTCTTCCTATAAAGAGAGAAAGAAGGAATCAAGTGTTGATGAAAATAGAGCAAATGGGGATCGTAAAACAAAAGGTTGAAAACTTACCAAAGCCAATAAGGCCTACGAGCAAGCAAACAAATAAAAATGATGCTACTCGATAGGATGCATCTGTATTCTCGAGGCATGAGAAGACATAGTGCAAGAGGTACCTGAAACATCCCGAAAGAAAATATGATCTCAAAAGTGAGATTATGGGTATCCAAGAATTCTATTCCAACACAAAGTTTAGTAACCCACATCTATTTTCGCAACCTAGACTAAACGAACCTAGTATATCCCACCTTGAGGTGGGGTCTGAGGAGGTTAAGATGTATGCAGGTCTAACCTCTACCCTAAAAAGTAGAGTGGTTGTTTCCGTGAAGACCCCAGGCTTAAACCACAAGGGTTGTGGCGTAGTGGTTGAGGCACAGGGGAATGTGGTGGAATATCCCATTTGCCCTAGGTTCAATTCCAAGCGTCCACAACAATTGTCGCTACTTAGTTTATCAGGGATGATGTCTTACAGTCACAATTTGCCGGGATCAGTCTGGGCATATGTCGGGATAGTCTGGGCATAGCCTGGCACACCCTTCCAAAAGAATAAAAATAAGAGTCCCCAAGCTTGCTTCTAGATTATGTGATCCAAGTAGCAAAAAAACCTACCCTTTTTTCCATCAGCCTTTAGGGTTCACTAGAGAAGAGGATCTTGAAAGCAGCATTTTCGAGTGTCAAGGAATGGAAGATCTTTTATGCAATTGTATTATTGCAAAGGGGTTGTTTAACAAATTGAAGTCTTCACTGATTCATGAGCTACCAATGGGGTGATGACATTTGTGTCTGCTATAAGGGTTTAAAGGACAATTTGAGAAGTTCAAAAAACTTTATCAAACATATCCTTAACAGTATTTCTGATGAACCATCTTAAGAAAATTGGCTCACTTAGAAGCTCCTATGACTACATTATGCAGAAAGATTGACCAAGTTTCATGAATCATTAAGTATTCACAAGTGAATAACTAACCAACACATATAGAAACATTTGAAAGTATTAACATACCCAGATAAACAGACTGTGTTAAGAGTGTGAGAAGATGGCAATCCATATTCCAATGCATTTTCTTTCTCATCTTTAGTGGCAGTTAGTATCCTAACGGGTGGTGATTTGGGTCTAGGAGCCGACACCACATCCTACACAACATACACAATTTCAGCGAATATGAATAAAATAACCTCCAAGAAATCCAAAATCAAGAACCAAATGATGGCATTGTACCTTTATACAATTCCCTGAATAATCACAGAATGCCATCAAAAGCGTCATTTGCCTTGCTAATTTCCCATGTCCACTCTACAACATGAAAACTAAAACCACTCAATCGATCCGAAAAGCACAACAAGATCTCCTATTTAAAGAAAATCTATTTCTGTTTCGAAGTGTGAAGATACGGGCACATTGGAACCTCTTTTTTGTCGTATGCTTGCATTTAGTACCAGTAAGCAAATGTGCATCAATGAGAAGGGAAAGCTTATTATAGAAGCTGACTATCCAAATAAGCATTTTCAAGAATGAGTAAGGGGCTGCTTAGTTGGTTTTCCATCATGTTCTAGATGGATAAAGTTGACTGTGTAGATTAATTTGTCTCTATAGATTTGGAGGGTTTTATTCGTAGATGGAAGAAGCGTGTTTTTTGATTGGGAGGGGCAGGTTCGGAAAAAACTTGGCTTTCTGCATAAAGACCCCCCCTAAACGCTAACCAAATAAGACACTTTTTATATCATTAAGCCACTTCCGAACAGTCATGCATAGCTGACCGAATAAACTGTAAGTCCCATTAAGCTGTTAACAAACACGCTCTAAGTAGCATTTGGAACACATGAACTTTGACACTTCATTTCCAAGCGACCAGGTCCCAGCAGAAAAATGCAAAAATCACAAAATTAACGAAGAGAAACTCAAATCTGCAGAATATCGTGTTCTTCCTTTTTGCAATTTCACAACTGGGTTGGTTGTTTTGAAATGAATTCCCGATAAACTTGCTCCAAATGCTTATCACTCTTTTGATGATGGGTTCTGCAAGTGAAGTTTCCACATATAGAAAGAGAGAATTTACCCAAAATAGCAAGGGAAGAAAGCCAGTATAAAAAGGCACAGAAACAACACAAGATAACCCAGAGAAGAAAGCATCCAAAGAACCACGCTGGTATTTCTGCAAGCATTCACCAATAAAATTAATTAAGAATGAATCATTCAAAACCAATAAAAAGCATATTGATGAGATTAGTAACAAGGGAGCAATCATCTCACCAAAATTCAAGCAAAATTCAATAAGCCAATAGAATTTTAAGCATGTTGATGAGATTAATTACATGGGTTTGTCTGTTAAAATGTTGCTAATTCTTCAAATATCCACCAAAATTTAAGCAAAATTCAATAACCCAGTAGAATATTAAGCATGATTATGAAATTAATAACATGGATTTGTCTAAGATGTTGGCATTTCTTCAAACGGTCAACAAATTCAACACGAATAACAAGCGAATTGATGAGATTAATGACTATGGGTATCTCCATATCGATATAATGCTGGTATTCTCCACATACCCCACCAGAAATCCAAGCAAAAATTCAATAAAATTCAACATAAAAATAAACAAAATCACAAATTAATAAGATTAATGACATGGGTTTATGCCTAATCAAACATCAATTGTGAAAAAAAAACAAAACAAAAACATGTATACCTGGATCTGAAGAATCGCAGGAGTACCGGAGATTACATGACGAGAAACCCATGGTTGTATCGAAGATCTAATCTTCTGGGTCACATTAAACATCGAAGATACAACGATCCATGTCAAAATCCCACACAAAAACGAGACCTGCCATGTGGGTATTATGCTCTCCATGTTTGCCTCTGGTTCTTTGTTTGTTCCCTCCAATCTTACGGTGATCAAGGAAGGCGAATCATGATGTCTTTTTTGTAAATTTGAATTGGGATTTGATAATTATAACCTGGGAATGACCGTAAATGGACTATGACTTGGGTTTGGATTTTGTTGCGGAGAATAATTTCTGGCCAGTCGGCAGCCAGATCAGGAACAGTCCAAGAAAGCTTTGGTTCTTTGTTCTTTTAAAAAAAGGAAAATAAAGTAGAACTTTTGGGGCCAAATGTTTTTGCAACTTGTTGGAGTGATATTTGAATAGGGTTTGTGTTTATTTGAGATCAATGATTTTTTGTGAGATAATTTATATTCATTGATCAACTTTATAAGCTAATAATCTAATGGTCTAAAGTTGTACGGTGACAATTTTATGATTATTGAGAAGTTTCGTGACGTTTATGAATATTCAAATTGTCAGATTGTAGATCTAATCCAAGAGTTAAAAATTTGTCTTACGGGTCTCACGAAAAAACATTGGTCTCACATGATCCCAAGTCTATTTGAATATGTTCATGTGTGGAGAAATTGTAAAATAAATAAATAAAATCAGTAACATTTTAGTAATTATTCATCTGAATGTGTATGTATATGTGTATACAAGTAATTTGTAAATAATTTGTCCGATTTACATACGAACATAAAAAACCAAAATATAATTTCAATTACTTGTATGCACATATCGTCCAGATAAATAGTTACTAGATTATTACTCAGTTTTTCATTTTTTTTTAGTTTTACTCTAAACCTTCCTCTATTTGAATATGATTTCATGTGTAGTACAGATAAAAGTTAGCATCTTTAGTGTAAGATTCTCAGTTTACATCTTATCTTTTGCTGAATGAAATTACTGATCTTTACCATGCTTATCTAATTAGGTTATGATAGATAATCTCTGATAATTTATATACACTTATGTATGGTTAATTCATAAATTTTATATTTTTTTAGTGAAAACTAGGATCATTTTTAACTTTCAGTATAATAAAATTTTACAGTATTTTATATTGCATTGGTACACAACTGATCCTATATATATCTTTGACATGTCTTTATCAATAATAATGATAACAAAATATTTTTCATTGAATATATAATTATATGACTTTAAGTCAATGAAAATCGATTATTCATATGTGCATTGAGAACATCTCTGGTCGTTGTTTGAAGAAAGTTTAATTAAGACTTGACCACTGGAGTTAAAGAAATGATGTTTTTTTGATTTTATATGTCAAACAAATTAGAAAAAAGATTGTTGTTTTTTTTCTATTTATACTACCTTAAAAACTAGATTTTTTTTAAAGTCTTGAAAACAATTTTTAATGCACAAAGTACTATATATTTATGCGCAAAGTCTTAAAAGTCTTAAAACAACTCATAATCCATTAAGTACTACTACTTTATGCATTTAGTCTAAAATCTCTTAATCTACAATTAACATAACAATTAGTACAAGTTACCAATGCACATTATTACTTTTTCTTTTCATGTTCTCAATATACTTTTGACACATTTTACTCATGTATTCACCCTTTCATACCTCTATGTCTTCTCCTTATCCCCTAAGGTGAGATTCAAATTGATATTCATCACGAGTTATTAAAAGTTATCTCATTCATCTTTCATTCAATTGCTCTATAATTCTCGCTCTCGTTCTCTTGATTCTTTGACACATTTGTAGAGTCGTTTAGATATGTTGAATTTTAAATATATTGAAATTTAAACTGTCATACAATTTTTTTCATCGATAGACTGTAATTAAAACCATAACTTTTATTTATTCAAATTGTATTAATATGTAAAGATCAAGTGTAATTCATATCATCGTTAAATCTTCTCTAATAAAACCAGTGAAACTTCAAAATCGTTAAAATTCACGGCTCTCGTTGTATTGCACGAGTACACAACTAGTATATTATTAATTAAAAAAATGGGTTAATCATTAATGTACCTATTTTTATTAATTATTTTAATGTTTTTACCCCTAATTAACATAAACAAACAAAAAATATCTGGATTTTTAGAGAGATGGTCCCCACTATATAAACCCATAAAAATTTCAAAGATGGTCAAGCTTTTATCCGGTCTGGTTGTCAATTGCTGAGTAATTTGATGCAGAATGATCAAATGGTTAGAATGATTAAGAGACTCTCATGATATAGTGCAAAATGAAATATAATTGTTCGGTAATTGTTTACAATGGAATTAGGGCATTGAATGGTTAAGGGAGGTCCATAATACAATTTTTTAAAGGGTTTTAAAATCATTAAGAAACAAATTTTTTTTTGTCAAACAAGATTCACCTCTTAACGATTCAAATGTTGCATCTTAATGGAACTATTAAGAGGTCTATCTCTAACTTCTCTCTAACATAGAATTCTCTCGAAAATCAATGATTTCAACAACAAATCCACACATTTGATGACAAATAACTATGATAGAATCACTAAAATCCCCAATATGCAGATTTAAGAAAAAACGTGTTTTTTCGAGTTTCATTTGTTGCGAGTTCTACATAATGATTGATTTCTGTATTCTTTTACATTTTTATGCTTTGTAGTGATGGATACAATAACATCTAAAATTTAAACACGTTTTGGTGGAAAAATCGAACTCTGAAAATATGAAACGTTTTTATCTATTTCTTGTGTTTCTTTTAAATTTTTATGCTTTGTAGTGATAGATATAACAGCGTTGGAACTTTAAACATATTTTGATGGAAAAATCGAACTCACAAAAAAGTGTTTTTTTAGAAAGCTACAGTGTTTTTAGAGTTGTCTAGAAAAATGCTTTCTAAAAATAAAGGTATTTAAAGAGACACATGTCTAAATATCTAAAAATACAGGTATTTTGGTATATGCATGTAGTCTTGTATATACGTATTTTGGTATATTTATACTATATTATAAAATAATTGATAAAAAAAACTCTTAAAAACTATTTTTTATGCATGAAGTACGTTTATTGATGCATATTACTTAAAATAAAATATTACAAATAAATTGTACGTAAGTATAACTTATCAAAGTTTCATGTTTGAATTCGTGTAACTAACTGCAGATAAACATAGTGCAATACAAAATAAACATTTCATTTTAAATATAACAAATCTAAAATATAATTAGGATAATCATTGACTTCTAACAAAATAATTAATGATTATCCTTATTAAAAATTATATTATTAAATCAAATATAAATTACTTCGTTATTAAATTTAAATTAAATTATAATACAAAAATTGAATTAAAGAAATTACACACAATTTTTTTTTAAATAGTTAATTTGATACTAATATTGATATATTTATTTTCGAAATTTTATGATATCTTCAAATTTATATTTTATTCAAAAATAAAAACATTAGTCTTTTTTTCAAAACCACATAAAAACCATATTAAAACATCTACAGAGACGGAATAAAATGAAACATTAAAATCGAGATATATCGCGTTGTATTGCACGAGTACCCTTTATAGTATTTAAGGGTGTTTGGGATTGCTTATAAAAACAACTTATTGACTTATTCAGGTGTGACACTGGTAATAAGCACTTTTGAGTGTTTTGATAAACAACTTATACCGGTGCCAAACGAGTAATAAGAAGTTTTTGAAGAAGTTAAATCTTTCTGACTTATAATAAGTTGATAAATACTTTTATAGAAAAACATAAATTGTTTCAAATAAGCAATCTTAAACACTCCTTAAAAATTGCTTAAATCTATATACGTGTATTAGTGTGTGTATAGGCATTCTAGAAGGGGGAAATAGTAATTGATTTACCTAACAATGATTTTTAAATCCGTTGGATTTTTAAATTTAAAAAAAAGTTATATACGTAATTCCATCTATTTGTATATAGATATGTAGAGAGAGATTCAAACAAGAATATTAACTAAATAAAAGAACTTGAAAACAGTTAATTCAAATACAAAATCACATGTGATTTTACACCAATGGTTAACGTAAAGGTGTATAGGCTACGTGGCATGCAACCAAAGTCGTGTGAATCACATGTGATTTTACACGTGATTTTAATATAAAATCACATGTGATTCGACTATTGTCTTATTAGGTTATTGTTCTTGTATGAACTTGACTCTAGATATATATAATATAAACATTCAAGATGCCATTATTTTTCACATGTGAAATAATATTGGTTTTATTATGGTTCTCAACATTTTGAGTTTCGCATGAGAGGCTCAAATAAAAAGGCTAAAGATCATGTCAAAACAATAAGCGATAGTTCATATGTGAATCATAAAAAAAAATCCATTTAAAAAATTTCTATGTGAATTCATATGAATAACCCGAAATACATTTTATATATGTATCTTCAAATAGATTTTTTCCGGATTATTTCAATGATTCACATAAACCTTTCATTTTTACCTTCTTACGATATTTAGCCTTCTTATTTGAACCTTCCACTACATATAGAGAGATACAAATGAAAATGTTTGAAACGTGAAAACATATCTCAACCATTACGCACATACGAAATTCAAAGACAGATAGATGAATTCATATTCATGCCCTTTTCACGTCGTTGAGGTTTTTGGTCTCAATTTGTTAGCCGATGCCAATTAGACATAGTTTCTAACATAGGTTAAAATTTATAAATTCTTTACAAGGTTCAAAACGTCATTCGATTTCGCGTTTGTAATCTTGTCTTACGACAAGCAGAAGTTAGCAACGCAAAAGGTGTGAATCTCTACATTTCGACAAAAACGCATCTCGTATGTGTTTTAAAACCAATTAATGTAATATTTGTTGTTAAATTTGAAAGAACACTTTCGTACAAGGATCTTTATGAATCTATACATGTGTATAAATATGCACATATGCATGTGAGATACATTTTCTTTTTGTTAACCATGGTGTCCCAGCCAGCTTGTGTGTTCATCGACTAATCTCAGGAGTCCTGAAGAACAGCCAGAAAAATTCCCAATGGCCTTGCAAGACCTAAACCGATGACCCCTGAGGAAAATTGTATTAGTTTTTTTTTTTTTAAATCATTCCTCGCCTTTTTATAACCAACTTTATTGTGTCTTCTTCTGTTTGGTTGATCCATGCATCTTAGTACTCTCCATTTCAACATTTGAGCTTGATGCCTGTTTACTACTACCGTTGGCTTGTCTTCCTTACATGGTGCCTTCG